TGTGGGGGACACCGTATCGGTGTACAACCCCGGATATAAAGTCTATAACTGGTTCGGATTCGGCCGTTTTCACTCGTTTGGCTTCTATCCATTTGGTGAACTTGTCAACCATGACCAATAAGTATTTTTTCTTATGGCTTCCCCCTTTAAGGGGTCCAACCATATCCAACCCCCAGACCACGAAGGGCCAAGTTATGGGGATTGTTTGGAGAGCGGTAGGGGGCATATGGCTCTGATTGGCGAAGAGCTGGCAACCGACGCAGTGTTGGACAAGGTCCTGTGTGTCTGCTCGGGCCGTCGACCAATAGAAACCTGTACGGAAGGCCTTGCTGACTAGTGCTCGAGCCGCAGCGTGGTGCCCGCCCAGTCCGGCGTGGATTTCAGTCAGGAGATGCCGCCCTTCCTCTTCGAAGATGCACCTTTGGAGCACTCCGGTAGTACTTTTCTTATAGAGTTCTCCTTCATGGACTTTGTAAGCTTTAGAGCACCGGACAATGCAGCGTGCTTCATTTTGATCTTCAAGGAGCTCCTGCCTATTTACGTAGGCCAAGAAAGGCTCAGTCCATGAGGCGATAAGAGCCATTATTTCGTGGGCTGATGATGTTATTTCGGTGGTAGAACCTCCGACTATGTTTGATAGTTCAGAATCTGGGGATGTATTCGGATCCGTGCTGGTATTGCCGGACTCCCCTTCCCATACCACGGATGGCTTGAACAGCCTTTCCAGGAATATATTAGGTGGGACGGGGTCACGTTTAGTGCCGATGCGTGCAAGGACATCTACCGCTTGATTGTTTTCTCGAGCCACATGGTGGAATTCGAGCCCCTCGAACCGAACTGACATTTTAAGGACGGCATTGCGATAGGCCGCCATTTTCGGATCCTTGGCATCAAAGTCTCCATTTATTTGTGATATTGCGAGGTTTGAATCCCCGCGCACCTCTAGGCGTTGAATGCCCATAGGGACTGCCATCCGGATACCGTGCAACAGAGCCTCGTATTCGGCTGCATTGTTGAAGTCTGTGTATAATATTTGGAGGACGTACTGGACCGTGTCCCCGGTGGGAGAAGTCAGGACTACACCTGCTCCCAATCCGGCCAGCATTTTAGAGCCGTCAAAGTGCATGATCCAGTTAGAGTACGCGCCGTACTCTTTAGGGAGTTCGGCTCCCGTCCATTCGGCGACAAAGTCAGCTAATACTTATGACTTGATAGCCCGCCAGGTCTTGTACGTTATGTCAAACGGAAGGAGTTCAATGGCCCATTTAGCAATCCGGCTCGTGGCATCGCGGTTATTCATTATATCGTTGAGTGGTACTTCGGAGGCCACCGTAATCGAACACTCTTGAAAGTAGTGCCGTAGCTTTCGGGATGCCATGAAGACTGCGTATGCAACTTTTTGATAGTGTGGGTATCGAGATTTGCATGGGGTGAGGACCATGGATACGTAATAAACCAGCTTCTGTAGCGGGAATTTGTATCCGTCAACCTCTCGTTCGATGACGAGTGCTGCGCTTACAACTTGATGTGTTGCATCTATGTACAGCAGCATAGGTTCGCCGATAGTTGGTGCTGTTAGGACTGGATTACTGGCCAATAAGGTCTTTATTTCATCTAGTCCGGCCACGGCTGCATCCGTCCACACGAAGTGTTCGGTGCGCCGAAGGAGGCGATAAAGAGGCAATGCCTTTTCTCCTAACCTGGAGATAAAGCGGCTCAAAGCAGCCACGCATCCAGCTAATTTCTGGATGTGTTTGAGGTCTGTTGGTATAGCCAACTGTGACAAAGCTCAGATTTTTGCCGGATTAGCTTCAATTCCTCTATTGGAAACGATGAAGCCCAGCAGCTTTCCAGAGGGGATGCCGAAAACGCATTTCTCCGGATTCAGCTTGATGTCGTATGTTCGTAAGTTGATGAACGTAAGCCTCAAGTCATCAATTAGGGTTTCGACGTGTCTTGTTTTAGCGACTACGTCGTCCACATATGCCTCCACTGTTTTGCCGATTTGCTTTTCCAGGCATGTTTGAATCATGCGTTGATAGGTTGCTCCGGCATTCTTAAGCCTGAAAGGCATAGTGTTGAAGCAAAAAGGGCCGTATGGCGTTATGAAAGCTGTTACAGCTTGGTCGGACTCTGCCATCTTTATTTGATGGTATCCAGAGTATGCGTCGAGAAAACACAGCGAGTCGTGTTCGGCTGTGGCATCGATGATTTGATCGATGCGAGGGAGGGGAAAGGGATCCTTGGGGCAAGCCTTGTTAAGGTCTTTGAAGTCGACGCACAGGCGCCAGGATTTTTTCCTTCTTTGGTACCATTACCAGGTTCGCCAGCCAATCCGGATGTTTGATATCTCTGATGAATACGGCCTCAAGTAACTTGGCTAGCTCCTCCCCCATGGCTTGCCGTTTGGGCTCCGAAAATCGCCTTAGGGTCTGTTTAACAGGTTTGTATCCCTTTAATATGTTAAGGCTGTGTTCGGCCAATCCACGTGGGATGCCCGGCTTGTCCGATGGGTGCCAGGCGAAGATATCCCAATTCTCGCGTAAGAAGTCACGCAGTGCGGCGTCCATAGTGGGGTTCAACTATGTCCCAATAGAAGTTGTCTTCATGGGGTCCGTTGGGTGGACTTGGAATTTGACTATCTCATCTGTGGGTTTGAATGAGGTGGACTTGGGTCGCTTGTCGAGTATCACGTCGTCCCTGTCCACGGTGGCGCATAGCGTGGTTAATTCTTCTGCCGCTAGGGCTTCGGATAATGCTTCCAAGCCCAGCGCTGCGGTTTTGTTTTCGGCGCGGAGTGCAACGTCCGGATCACTAGCTAGAGTGATGATTCCATTGGGTCCGGGCATTTTAAGCTTCATGTACCCGTAAAGGGGTATGGCTTGAAAGCTCGCAAACGCGTCCCGCCCTAGAAGGGCATGATATCCGCTGTTGAAAGGAGCCACTTGGAATGTGATTTCTTCGGACCTGTAATTCTTTGGGGTGCTGAATACCACGTCGAGTGTGATTTTTCCCGCACACCGAGCCTCCCGACTAGGGATAATTCCCCTGAAGGTCGTGCCACTTTGTTCAATGCAGCTTTTGTCAATCTCCATCTTTTTGAGGGTTTCTTCATAGATTAGGTTCAATCCGCTTCCGCCGTCCATGAGTACTTTAGTGAGCCGAAAGCCATCCACTATTGGGCTGAGGACCAGAGCGGCCAGTGCCCAGATGGACTGGACTTGGGGTTCGTCACTGGCATTGAAGGTTATAGCAATGTCGTTCCATGGATTTACTTTTGCCACATGGCAAATTTCAACGGAGCTTCGATGCGCTCGCTTGCGCCTATTGTTTGAGGCGAAGGTCTCGAAGACTGTCAGCACTGTATTGCGTTCTTTGGCGGGATGTGGTTCTACTTTATGGCTCTCGAGGAGATCCTCGCCACTCTTAGCTACCTGCCGGAGTATCCAACATGCTCTAAGGTTATGGGTCGGTGTAGCGTCTGAAGTGCTGTGAAGCTTACACGGCCCGTTGAGCCATCCTTCCAATATGATTCCACGCCCTGGGGCAGGCTTTGGTTTCTTGGGAATTGAGTTGGTCGACTTACGAGAGTTCGGCCGTTTAGTTCGGACAAAGGTTCCGGTGAGGGTCGTACTATCCCAAAATTCTGTCTGGGTTTTCCAGGCACTTTCTATCGCACAATACATTTGTACTATGGTTGCCAAGTCTGTAAGGTGCTCTATGTCACGGCGACTTATAGCATTAAAGAGTCCTTTGTTCGTGCAGTTTCTGCAGAAAAGAGAGACTACGTCCTCCTCGTGGCAGTCCTTGACCTTATTAAGAGCAAGGAGAAATCTGGCCCAGTAACGATGTACCGTCTCCTGGGGCTCCTGTCGGACACGGGAGAGGCGAATTAAGTCCGAGCGGGCGTCATTGGCTGAAGCCGGATTTTGATCCGATCTGACGCCCGGGGGCACGGGAAGTACCGAGCCTGACAGTTCAGGATCTGGAGCATTACCTAATCCCTTTGGCCCAGCGCCCGATTCTAAGTCCGGGACCTGGGTCATGTAGTCCTTTGGGTGGGTGTTTGGCTCACTGAATTCGGTGATCCGAACATAATTTGTCCTCAAAGTTGAGGGGCGACCCACGTGTGATTCCTCCACTACCGCTATCTCATGGGTGGCCGGCGGGGATCTAATGTCCCTCTGGTCGGGTTTAAGCCCAATCCGGTCATAGTCCGTAGCGACTCCCAAGGCGGCGATGCGATCCAAGAGCTCGTTAAGAGAGGAGAGCTCCATCGGATCCATCTGTTCAGAAAGCTCCGAACCAATGCGAAGGTTACGCGTGATGACCCGAGAGGCCATCGTCGGCGTGACAGCCGATGGGGCGGTCATAATGAAGCCACCAAGCCGGAGAGTCTGGCCTACAGCCAGCACTCCTCAGAAGTGATATCGTCCTTGACAACGAGACGAGCCATCGAGCCCTTGCAGCGTCGACACAGAGGAACTCTCAATGAAAGCACCAATGTCAGTGTCAAAATCGGCGGATCTCGGATAGGGGGTCCCGATCTGTGCGTCTTAGGCTGATGGTAACAGGAAGCAAGGGACACAATGTTTACCCAGGTTCGGTCCCTCTCGATGAAGGCAAAACCCTACTTCCTGCTTGATTAATATTAAAGATATGTGGAATACAAGAGTAGATCTACCACAAGATCTTAGAGGCTAAACCCTAAGAGCTATCCTATGATGGTATGATTGTAATTGTGATCGGCCTTCTAAGGACCATGCTCTCCGGTTTATATAGACACCGAAGAGCTAGGGTTTACATGGAGTCGGTTTACAAGGAAAGAAACATAATAACCGGATCGCCAAGCTTGTCTTCCACGCAAAGGAGAGTCCCATCCGGACACGAGCCGAAGTCTTGAGTCTTGTATCTTGACGCTTCTATAGTTCGGACGATGTATATAGTCCGGCTGTCCGGATACCCCTTATCCAGGACTCCCTCACCCACCTACCACCCACCGTCCACTTTTACGATGCACGCGCGGTTGGCCCCGCTTGTCAGCCACCCCGGCCGAGTGGTCGCCGTCCTTTTTAATGCGAAAGCCATGGACCGGTGGGGGTACACACTTCCACTTCCCCACTCCCGGCAACACATGCCTCCTTGAATACCGACACGCTTGGTTTCTCCAAACCCTAGCTCCACCTCGCCGCCGGCCACACTGGATCTCCGGCTGCAAGGGCAGGAACGACCACAAGGCCGGCTCTTCCTCTGGTCGTCGTCGTCGTCGCTCCACCCCTCCACCTGCACCTCCAACACCCGCATTTCACATCGCGCCGTTGGCGGCCGGACCTCGCATGAGGCCATACGTGAAGGCAGAGATTTGCAAATGGGAATACCTCTCATAGTCATCAAGGAAATGATTGCATGAGATTAATTTTGAATTGGTAGAATACAAGTAATCCCTCCCAAGCCATGATGGATATCAGCTCGCCGCAACTTGGATCAGCGTCCGACGCATTCAAAGCAACATCAAGTTGAGAAGACAGTCACCTGTGTTCAATCATCCCCAGTCCCCGACCACACTTCCAGGACAAATGCCCTCATTATGGTGCTGCTAATCATGGCCAGCGCTCTAGCCGTAGCTACTTGCATAAGTGTCACCCCCCTAATAAATGTCACCTCTGTTAACTACCTCCAAATAAGTTTTGTATCTTGTACGTCAGCTCTGTATTTTTCATAGCAGTGGGGAACAACTGGTTTCCTTTTCTAAGTGGTTACGCCAGTTATGTATTTCACAAGACAGCTTGCTTTAACGTTGAGTTTTCACATGCATTAACATATGTCAGTCATCTCTACTATCTAACGATACCAAAGGGAAGCAAGCCCGAGCACTAAATGTCTGCGCCCTAAGTTAGTATTGCTACTAAGATTGCATTTCTGTGCTTTGATGGCTTATTTCTTATGCGACAAATTTGAAACTGAAACAATTATTTGAGCAGACATAGAACAAGCCAAATTGGTTGTTCCCCAGTAATATGAAAAATAACCTTTTCTCTAGCATTGGACATAGAATCAAGCGGTGATTATAGTTTCATCCACTAGTTAAATGCACACCATATAGTCGAATTATTAAATCAAGAATAGAGAATGCATGTTAAAGGGACTCCAGTCTACACAAATCATGGAAAAGTTTCCTTCATTTCGCTAGTATCTTAGGCATGGATGCATGGTGATATGTACTAATACAAGCTGCAAAGCATGTGCCTAATAATTGGAAATCTGAAACAGCAGACACCTGAGTGTTAATGCAGAATAGCAAAAGATAAAAGAGCAGACGAGAAGGTGAAAATTCATGTCACCTTTTTGCTGAAATTCTTGTCATGTCAGTAGCCAAACATATATGATCTCCTTCAAGGCCTTGGAAGGCAATAGTATGCACCGGCTGGATCTACGCCGCTTCAAATCTTTCTGGATCTTTCATGTGTTACCACTGTCGGCATGAGAAAAAATTTATAGCTACATCGTAGAGACCATCTGCAAGGTTTAGGCTACAAACAAACATAAAAAACCTGATATATTCAAAATAACTTAGACCATAGAAAGCACGCAAACAACTTTAACTCTGAATATATGGTATGCGAGTGAGCACAACAACACCTCCTAGGGTCGCCACATGCCTTATCAAGTCTTGAGCTGAAGTGAATTTCCTTGCTAGCACAACCTTTTTTGTTCCCAAAAAATTCGGGTTTTGTCAAACACCGTATCGGATTGTGATATATGTGAAGCGAGATTTAGATCATTTAACACCACAATATCCCCAAGTAGCAGGCATATTATTAAGCTTCTGTACGAGTTTGCAAAGAAATTTTGTTGAAATATCTAGATTGTCTGAGCAGTAGTATTGACCTCAGATTGTCGGTTGTATATCTCAAACTGAAATTCAGATTTAAACACTTGCAGCAAACTACACAGAAAGTCTCTATCTCAAGAAGAATTGCTTACAATCAATTCCATTCTTTCTTATCCTTGTGTTAACAGATAGTATAGTTTCACTCAAAACTTACACGGTTTAAAAAATGATGCAACCACATGAAGGAAATTCTAGATATCTTACTGGCCTATCTTTGCAAAAGTGAATGACACCTGATCCGCAATTAAAGAAAACACTATACGATCGTCCACAACCTATACTAACGTGGGATAACTGTAGAAGAAATCAATGAACATAACTATATTTCTAAACTGTTAACAGAAGGATGCAAGGTAAGCATAATTGAAAAGGTATCAACAAGTATAGATGACAAAGTCTTCACCTTAATATATTGTTGCCTTGTGTGATGATACAGTGTGACTCTTTGAACAAATTATTCACAAACTAAAAGCCTTATAAGCTACATATTAAGGTGTTGTATGAAAAATGTGCATTGTTACAAACAATTCGAAGTGATTCACAACACAATTTATTGAGCCAAATAATATATGTTGACAATCTATTTTCATATGCAAAAAAACTATATGTCTGCATTACTGAATATAACTTCTATATTTCCAGTTGATATGAGCAACTTTTGATATCTCGACAACAAATCCTTCATTGTCTGACCTTGTGTTCAAAATTGCTCGTGTCAATCTCCACTGCCCCAATCATTTTGGTCCAAATGCGAGAACTAAAAATACCCAAACTCCAAACCTATCCATGGTAAGAGCAAGGAGAATATGATAGCACTGCTCACTAAACAAATTTGGGGAAAGCAAGTTCAGGGTCAAGCCATCTCCACTAATATGCCTTGCTCAGGCACCTTGTCGAGCACCAAGAGCCGCTCGTTCTCCACGTGATGGCAGGGTCGCTCCTCCCAACAGCCTAGCAGAAGAGCAGAACTCACGTTACACCCAACTACATGGTGAAGTAAACATGAGGTGGAAAACTAATCTGTCAACGTGTTTCATGGCTTGATCCGGCGCTTATTGCGAAGCCTTGACCTGGTCCTCGCCGCCACGGTCGCGCCAGCCAGTGCTCCCCCGGGTGAGTTTCAGCTTGCACCAGTGGCGGTCGGTGGTGGACGATTCGAGCAAGCCGCTACAGTGTTGGAGACAGTGTGGTGAAAGAAGTTCAGTGGAACACAGAATTTAAAAATAAAATCTATAAATCATCTTCTGTCAAGGTAAATCCATCACCAAGATTTATTCCCTCTGCTAGAGTTTATACAAGAAAAATAGCTGACACACGCAAATAGGGGAATGAAGGGGAACAAATTGAAAGGAGGGGATCTCACCTGAGAGAACCCTTGCTGTTGGTGGTCGCGTAGAATAGTCAGTACAACATAGAATAGTTAGTACAACATAGAGTAGTCACATATCTGAACCCATTTCCTCATGATCTGAAATAAAATAAAAGAGCAATACCTTCAGAGCGATTGATTGCTAGCTGTCTAAACTCGGAATCAACTCATGTGCAATTTATGATAGAGGCAGTACAAGCATGTATCCTTATCCTGCTATATAACTGTAGTACAGTTAAAAAGAAAGGAATTTGTCCCAAATAATCCAAGTAATTGGACTGCAAGATGAAGGTGCATACAACATTCAGTTCTGCTAGTGGTCTTCCACACAGAAATTTTTTGTTCTTGAAGCAAGCCGGAACTGAAGAAGTGATAGAGGCTCGGACCCCGGGACACGCACTTGAGCCATGGATTTCGTAGAGCCGAGAAGTGCTGCCACATCTCGGACCCATCAGCTCAAAACAAAATCTAGAAGAAGCATAGGGGGAAAATTATAGTACCTGTGTGTACGTGGGATCAATCCACGGTTCCTATGCCCGCAGCCAATTCCCACCAACTGCAGCTCTCATGCCGGTACGCCCGAGCATACTCCCGCTACAGCGAGCGTCGACGCCAGTCGAGCTCTCCGGCGAGCAGGGCCTTCTCCGCCGCCTTTTTTCTGCTCCTCCCTAACCTCCCCCTCATCTCGTTTTCTCTGCATAGGAAGCCATGGCGCCGTCCGAGTTGCAGCTTCGCCGCCGTCCCAAACCGTCGCCGTCGCGCGCCTATAGGTCTCCCCATCGACCGGTTCCAGCCCTCCGTCACCAGAACGTGCGGCTCGGAGTTCGTCGCCGCCGATCGAGCTCTCCGGTGAGCAGAGCCTTCTCCGCCGCCTTCTTTTCCTTCACTCCTCCTACTGCTCCTCCCTGACCTCCCCCCGTCTTGTTTTCTCTGCACAAGGATCCATGGCACCGCCCAAGTTGCAGCTTCAAGTTGTAGCGAGACGATTAATGGCTCCCGTCGAGGTAGCACAGGGATCGGCGGTGGCTTCATGTGCGAGGGTGGCGGCAAATGGATGGATCTGCGGCGGCTTGATGTGCCAGGGCGGCGGCGGAGGGATGCGAGTGCAAGGGCAGCGGCAATGGGATCTGGTGTGGCCTCGCTCAGGGTACCCTTCGCTCGTTGGTACATTACGAGGGAGCGGTTTTTTTTCGTTGGTTTTCTTTCGTAGGCTTTTTTTCATTGGATTTTTCTTGCGAGGGTAGTACGTCGAGGCATCACTTCTTTGTAATGCGGGTTGGTTTTTTTTGGGCGAGGGGATTGCTGGGGATGGGAGTAGGGACGAAAATAAACCGAAAGAAGGTGGAACGAAAAAAAACGGAACGGAGACTACCAACTGAAACATTAGGAATAGAGATTTGGCAAGACAATGCAATGACCATAGGACATAGATATATGTTTGTTTGATGCTTTTATTATGTACTAGTATTTGGCAATAGAAGACTTGGTAGTTTAATCCTGTCCACCTTACTAATGAACTAGTTCACTGAAATGAGTTTCATATACTAGTACATGCTAAACTTGTTATGTGTCTGCTTGTTTAGTCTTTTAGAATGCTGACAGAATATTGGTGAAGAGTGCCTTATTAAGCAATGGTAAAGGAAGTAATGCAGATAAGGTTCAGAATAGTGAGACATCCTTGTTGGTCTCCAAAGTCCTGTCTTGGTTTAGTGTTCGAGTTACTGGCCACTGCCGCTTGCACAAGCTATTCAAACTCACTGTATGAATCAGTTTCGTTTCTTGAGTCTCAACTACAAGCTGAAATACATCGATCAGCTGTGCTTGATAACCCACAAGTGTAGGGGATCGCAACAACTTTCGAGGGTAAAGTATTCAACCCAAATTTATTGATTCGACACAAGGGGAGCCAAAGAATATTCTTGAGTATTAGCAGTTGAGTTGTCAATTCAACCACACCTGGATAACTTAGTATCTGCAGCAAGGTATTTAGTAGCAAAGTAGTATGATAGTAATGGTACCAGTGAAAAAAGGTAAAGATAGTAATAGCAATATTTTTGGTGTTTTGTAGTGATTGTAACAGTAGCAACGGAAAAGTAAATAAGCAGAGAACAATATATGAAAAGCTCGTAG